GTTACTATATTAATAGCTACTGCTAGAGATGATGTCTCCTCTCGGTATTGGAGAGTAGGTGTGTGAAGAGGAGGAGAGGCTGAGTTGCTTCTGCATCCAAAAGCAGAGCCTGAGCTTGCCAATAGCAGCCTTATAGCAGTGACCCAGCTGTATGACATCCCAGCTCTGTTATCCTCCTCCTGTATCCCATGGGAAAAGTGGCTCCCCCCACACAGGGTGGCAGAACCAACTCTACCATGAGAAATAAGCCTCAGGTGTCCTGAGAAGAGGCACGAGGGGAAAGTTTCCTCTTTCTGAGCCTGCAGGGATTTTAATGGGTCATCAGCGAGGTTGCAGCATAACTAAGTCATGCTCTTGGTGTGGCTCTGTAGCACAAAACCTGCCCTGTAACTGAAGGGAAGAAAGCATCTCATCCTACCAAACAGCAGTTATGTGGAGGCACCGGGCTGCTGCAGTAGAAGTGCTGGCTTCTGAGATGTGGCTGTGCTGGATCATCACTGATCCTAGATGAACACATTTTATGCTGTTCTCCTGCTTAAATCCCAGTGTACAGAACTACATCCCCCTACTCCTGTTTTTATTCCACAGAAGGATAACACACATCCATCCCATGTTACAGACATAGCTGCCACCTTTCTCTGTTTGAGCAGTAGGTAGAGCAATGCTCAGCTGGGAGAGCTTGAGGGGATGAAACATGAATTTTAAATATAGTTCTCTCACCAAAATAGCAGCCTACATTCCCTTACTAGAGATATAAGGTGCAAGCAGTTCTCTGTGCACACACTGCAACTCCAAACAGCATGGGCTGCATGCACACACACAGGACAGTGGAAAGCAGGAAACTAATTAAGAAGTGATGAGGTTTTTGCTGTGAACAGGTGCAGTCAAGTTGGCAACTGTTCTGTAAGTCCAGATGGACCTCCAAGGTCCCTGAAGGGCATGCGAAATGCATGTGAGTGCCAGCCCAAATTCCAGGCAGCTACCTGACTTTGTGTAAAGGACCAACCATATTAGGCCTTGCCTAGCTGGAAGAGCTGCACAGATGGGATGAGAGCTGGGGCTCTGCAGGCTACGTAACCCTCTAACCTAGCGACCATGGGTCCCTGTCCTGCTCTCTGGCAGCGCAGCAGCCTCAGCACAGGGCTGTGGGGTTGGAGGGTATGGAGCCCTAGATGGATTGGTATCTCCAAAGAGAGCCTGCTGGGGAAGGCATCAGGAGTACCTGAAAGGCAGCCTGCAGGGAGAAATGGTGGGACAAGTCACTCAGGGTTTGCTGAGGAGAAGAGTTGGCAGCAGAACAGTGAGCACAGGCTGGGTTTCTCCAGCTGCACATGTAATCCCATGAGGGTCATCTTCAGCATGTGTCTCAGGGACATCCCCAAGACTCCTGGCATTGCTGCAGGCCTGTGTTTTGCACAGTTCATTGAGCCTAGGGGAAGAGCCAAGTTGGATGTGACCCATAATTGTCCAGCTGCCTCGGGGCCAGCAGAAGCTGAAGACCACTGTCACACTCAATAGCAAGATGGGTCACTCCTTATAAACCGCCTCAGTGACATCCCTTCCTAACAGCAGCTGAGAAGGAAGGAAAAAATAGTGAAAATATAGGGAGGAAAGCCTGCAGGGAACATCATGCTGCCTGACGTGGGTCAGAGCAACCCCTGGCCCAAAGCACCTCTCCAACCCTGGCTCTGGTGGCCAAGCCCCAGGTGTATGGCTGGGCATGAGCCGGAGCAGCACAGGCATTTCGTGGAGGATCCCGGGGCTCACCTGTGCTGCCTGCCCTTCACAGCCAGCCAGCTCGCTTTGTGAGGATGACCACACTTTGCAGTCAGCTCTGGAGATTCAATTACAGCCCGTGTTTCTGTGCCACTTGCTGAGAGCAGCAATTGATAGGCTGCAACCCGAGCTCCTCTGGAAAGCATTGGGAAAACCCAGAAGGTAAGCACAGCTACAACCATGAGCCAGCCCCGGGTGCTGGGCTGCTGCTGCCCACCACACGTAATGTCTCCCCTGAGACTGCAAAGGGGCTGCAGGGAGGCTTGTCCTGTTGTGTTGGGGCAGGCTGAGTGCAGCTCTGCACTGCACCCTGTGCCCCTGTAGCTCTTGCAGTCCCTCCTGCGGGAGTACTCCAGAGTAAGCTGTGAAGTCCCATCCCATGCAGGCAGTCAGGGTTCCTATGGGGGCTGTCATCCTCCAGGCCTTGCCGCTGTTTTCCACCCCAAACCCCACCTGTGTTCTCAGCTGGCCGTGACACTCCTGAGGCTGCACGGACATGGGGTTGCTATTGTAGTCCTCGACACAGGTCTGCTATCTCCATCTCACTCTGGTCCTCACCCAGCCTCCCCTCACACACTGCCCCATTCCTTTGCACCAGAGGTTACATGGGTTACAGCTCCAGGAGCAGGAAGATAAAACAGAAGCTACGCAGACTTCCTTTTCACATGGTGAGGAATTATTTACACTCGGGTTGGGATTTGCTGCTCTACTAATTTTGTTGTCTCCTTACTTGTCCCACATTGCAGCCGGCGTTCCTTGCCTGCTCCCTTCCCTCACTGCCCCCACTCTCATTCTGCTTCCCCTGGCCTGCTTCGGCCCAAGGAAGGTGAGTCCTCACCTCAAATATCACTGAGTTTTACAGAGAAAGAGGAAAGGAGATGCAGAACTGTCTGACCTTTAAAACAGCCACATTCTCACATTTCCTCCCCCATCTCAAAGCAGCTCTTTGCTCTACTGTAACCTTCTCTTCCCCATCCCAGCATTTATTTATAAGTGCAATCAATAATTAAGGAGCTGCCTGCCTTCCTCGGCTGCAGTGTTGACAGAAGCACCGCTGATGCTTCCTGGCTCAGCCTGGCTGCTCTGCTCACTGAGGCTTTTAATTTTCTCCACTGCCTTGCTGGAAACACAGCGACAGCCCACCCAGAGATGGCAACAGCAAGGCAAGCCCTGCCACAATGAGCACTCCCTGTATGCAAAGAGAATCCAGGCGGCTTTCCCTGCAGAGAGGACAAGAGGGCAAGAAGAGAGGGCTGGGGCTCTGCCACCCGTCACTAGAGGGAGGGCGATGGCAGCTGGCAGCTCCTCAGCCCTTGGCACCAGGCCATGCAGCCCTGCAGGGATGAGGTGCATGAGGGGGAAAGAGGGCACCGAAGGACAGCATCAGCTCTGCAGCCCTCGGCGGTCCCAGGCTGTCCTACCCCATCAGTGTCCTCCCGCCACAGCAACCACGCTGACATTGTCCTCACTGCGTTGGGCTTTGTTTTCCCACAAGGAAAGGGGGCGCTGCCCTCAGCTGGAGCAGCCCCTGGGTCTCTGAGCTGCTTTTGCCAGCCATGTGAGGGAAAGGGGCTGTGCTCCCCGTGTAAAACCACCTGGGCTGGCAGACTTGATCCCCCCGTGCTTCATGTCCCTGCATAGCGCCTACCCCTGTTGCAAATACTTTGGGCTGATCAAAACACAGCAGAACAGGGAGAAGCTGGAATTAGGGCAGGAGAGGGAACAATACGCATCCACAAGCTGAAATGCACATCATGGACTTCTCAAGCAACTCAAGAGACCATACAAAGTGAAGGAAGTATCTCCATGGGGCTCTGCAAAACAGTCTCCCACCAGCTCTCATCTCCAGCAAGGGAAGGGAAAGGCTTCACACCTGCTCTGAATGCTGCAGAAGCTGCAAGAAACAGAAGGAAGAGAAGGTGCTCACCAGATCCTGTCCCTCCTCCACGGGCTGCAGGGCTGTGGCACCAACCCATCCTCCAGGAACAGTGTTTGGTGACCTGCAAAAGTGTTTGGTGACCCTGGTGACCCTCCTTACAGCCCATCCTGCTGCAACTAGCCCTTTTTCTGAGCATTTCTCCTAGGTACTGAGAGGCTTGTCTTCCCCATCCCCATTCCCCAGCTAAGTGACAATGAGGGGTCCTGTGCTGCAGGGAGAGGAGCTGAGGGGCCTGCTGCAACACAGAACTAACAGTGGGAGACCCCAGAGCTAACAGAGAGGCCCTGATGCCGTGATGATGACGTTCCCTGAGTATCAGGAAGAGCCAGCAGAAGGTGTTGAAGTCCCTTGAAGAGAGAAGGGATTGCTCAAGGGGTCAGCAGGTGTTGAGCCAGCAGCAGCTGTGGCTGCATCCTCAATTTTATCCATTACTTATAGCAGCCTGGGAGTTGGGCACAAGGAGACCAGGTCCTCTCTTCTCTATCATCTCCCCCCTCAATCCCACACAGTTGGGGCTGAAGTCCAGGAAAGCAGGGGAAAGCATGACAGCTTGAAGTCTGCATCCACTGGTAGAGTTGTGTTGGTTCTTCACCATTTTTCTGTAGCTTAAAGGGTGGAGAGGAAGGGAGGAGGGCCTGGCACAGCTCCTGCTGAAGCTAGTTTGCCATCTGGCATTTGGATGAGATGCAAGGGGGCTGAGCAGGAGTCACCAGAGAGGCCTGAATCTTCTGGCCTGATGCTGGAGAGATCTCAGCGAAAGGAGAGTGTGCTCCAGCAGCAAGGAGAGGGGCTGCAGACAGGAGCTGCTGGGTCCCTGGGCACAGCTCCTGCCCGCCTGGAGGTTTTCAAGATTCTGTCAAGAAAGCATATGATCTGAAAAATGTATTTGAAATACGAGAAGAGCCAATTAAACTATCTAGCCTAGGGAGTTCCAGCACCAACATCAGAAAATGCATCCACCCTGCCATGAGCAGCAAGCATCCTAGAAGGAAGGGGTTCCCCATGGTGGAGTGCTGCCAGCTGCTAAGCCTCCCACCTGCCAGCATCCTCAGGCTCTTTACTAGGACCACTCCCCTCACCTCCTGCTTGGTTCCTGTGTCATAGTGGAAAGGCCAGGGCAAAATGAGCTTCACAGCTCCTGCTGCTCTCAGTACCCAGGAGTGAGCCTGCAGGACACACGGGATACGAGCACTGCTCCCCACCATGCAGTGCAGGCAGCAGCTGGGCTGGCTCCTGTGAGCAGGGCAGGGGGCTGGAAGGTGGGAGGTGGAATCAAATCCAAGCTAATTAAGGGTAATTACTGCTCTTCCCAGGAAGCAGTAGGAGACAGAATTCACAATCAACCCCTCTATTAATAGCTGTCAGCAGCTGTGTGGTTCCTGCTGGGACCTAGAGGGAGAGCGGAAAGCTTTGCGGGAGAAGCAGCACACATGCATGCAGTGCTTCTCACCCCATCAGCGCTCCCCATTCCTTCAATGCTGACTTTGCAGGGAGCTATTTTCTCTCTTGTTCCTTTCACCACTTCCTCTAGGAATGCAGGAGACGTCAACTGCTTTTTAGCAGCGTTTTTCAGCGGGAACCAACAGGAAGAAGGCTTGGAGACAGAGCCTTGAATCTTGTCTCCACCCCTCAGCATCTTCATTTTGTCCAGCCCCCATCAGTCTGGCAACTTTCTGTGCTTCTCTGAGCTTCCCATTGAAGCAGCACAAGCTGCTTTGCAAGGAGAATCCCTAGAAGCAAGGACAAACTTCACCAGCTCCTGCCCAGGCAAATCCCTTTTGTGCCAGGCACTCACTGATCAGCAAATGCCCCTCTCACAGTCTCCAGCCATACCCCAGGAGTGTGCACGACACAACAAACCATGCCTGACAGATTGGGGTGCCCCACTGCAGAAGCCACCCCATACGGCATAAAGAACTTGGACAAAATTGTGTCCTAAACTGCAGTGAATTCTGACCATTGTGATGTGACATGAGGACAAAAGGGACTGCAGGAGATGCCCTAGCATGGCTGGCTGGGAGGATTCATGCATGGATTTTTTCCCCTTCCACTGCTGTTCCCTCCAGATGCCACTACAAGCACGCAGCCTGCCTCTTGCTGCAGGCAAGAGCCTTGCCAGATGCATTGTGCAGTCCCCGAGGAGGCAGCTGGTGCTCTTGTCATCCCATCAGGGAGAAACCCAGCAGCCCATTAGAGTCCAGGAAAGCTGCTGTGCTGCAGGAAAGAAAGCACCTGGGCAGCTCAGTCACCTCCTCTGCTCATGCACACAAGCACACACACCTGCCCCTTGGAAATGGCAGCAGTCCCTGCCCAGTGACACTGCCACAGGGCTGCTGCCAACACTGCAGGGCTGTCAGCAGTCCTTATGCTGTGTGCTGCTGGGAGAGGACTCTCCATGGGCTCCTGTGCCCTCTCACAAAGCCTGAGATTTTGGTGCTGCAGAGATCATGCTCAGTTATGAGTTTAGGTCTGTGGCAGATCGAGCAAGGATTTTCCCTACTCTCCTTAGAGTGATGTGGTGCTGCATTCGCCCTTCAAAGCTCAACTACCTGCAAGTGCAAAGACACACACAAATCAGAGTAGGAGAAGCCAGGCAGGATAACATATTTCTAGTCTCATGCCTGGGACACCAAATAGGTTGTCACCATCCAGCCATCAGCCTCAACAGCATCCCAGCCTCAGATGCCCTGTGTGAGACGTGTTCCCCCCATCAGTGCACAGGCTCCACTCCTAGTTAGTTGTTGTAGTATTAGTTTCTAACAGAGTTATGCTGTTCTCTAGCTCATTTGAGGAGCAACAGTGCCTAAGACTGCACACCCTGATGGAACGCATGCATGAAAATAAACAGAGGAAGAGTTAATGCAGCCATTTTGAAGTTGCTGCTCCTTGTTTTCAGTGATTCAAGATCCAGTTGCATCCCATTCCACAGCTGACTGCAGTATGTGAGCCATACCATCTCTGGGATCCCATGGCTCTGGGCAGGCAAAGCCAGACCCCACTTCAAAGCATAGCATCTGCATCTCGTTACCATGAGGTGGGCTGAAGGCTTTGCCACCGCAGGCTGCTTGAATGCTCTGCTCAGTGCAAGAGAGAACATTTATGGCTAAGTATTGCCCCCAGTCTTACTTTTTCAAGCTCTAGAAAGCCCCAAAGATGTTTAAATGCCAGCCTGGCCCATAGGCTGCCTCACATGTCCCCAGATCTGGAGCTCAGCAGTGTCATCCGCCTACAGAAGAAAGCACATTGCTGCTGAGGTCCTGCTTCACACCACCAAAAGTCACGCAGCACGCCTCAGGATCTTGATGCTTTTTTAGGTCTAAATGCCTGTTGTTTCGCTGTGAAGTCTTCAGGGTAATCTCAGGTCACATTCATCACATCCTCACAACCAGGAGGTGTATTTTGAATGAAAGGCAGCGCAGCTTCCCAAGAACGCCAGCTATCTCGAGACTAGCGAGAGTATCATGAGAGCTGGCACCAGCGTTGTGCGCACTCCCACGGGGCACGCAGTGGCTGAGATAGTGCTGTACCCACTGCCGAGCCCGTCGGCGCTACGAAAGTCACATTTCAGCTGGAAAATCTGTGGGCAAACACCGAAACGCTTCGATCTGAGAAAGGGGAAAAATGCGACGCGCGCTTTCATCCCTTTGTCGACCCCGTATATTGTGTGCAATCCCTGCATGTGCTGCCGACGATGCTGTTCCCTAAGCCCTGCCTGCTCCCCGTCGGTGCCCAAGGCGCTGTTGCCGGGCTGGGGCCGCGGCCAGCCCTGCAGCCACCGCGTCCCCGGATACCGGCGGCAGCCCCGGCAACGGCCGCGTCCCCGACGGTGAGGGGCGGCGGGTACGGGGCCGGGGGCGGCGGGGAGACGGGAGGTCGGGGAGAGAGAAGGGGAGGTGGGCTGAGTTTCTGACGGGCAGTGGGTGGGGGCAGCCCGCTGCTTTCCTTACCATCCTGTGAGGCTTCCCCCCACCTCCCCTCCCCGGTTCCTAAAGAGATTTCCTGCTCCTGAGGCCCCTCCCGGCAGCGACCCTCATCTCTGCTGGTGTCACCCAGGACAGTGTTGTGGCCCTCGGCGCTGGCTGGGTGGTAGTGGCCACAGGAGCCCTATTCCCGAATGTCTGCCTGGCCTCATTCTTCCTGATATCCAGTTACAGATAAATTCCATTATATTTGGAGCTAAGTAGATTCCTCGTCTGACATGCATTTTTTCCCTTTACTTAAGGCCCATTGCGGAGACTCTTTAGGAGCTGCAATATGCTGTCCTAATGGATCCTTAGCATCAGCCCTTTTGTGCGAGTGCCAGAGAGCTCTGCAAGGCAGTGCTGCTGGCTGTGGGACTGCTGGCCTGTGCCTCCTCTCACCTGCACAGGGTGAGCACAGCACAGAGGCAGGGAGAGCTGCCAGCACATCCAGGGTGCTGCAGCCATGTTCTGAGAGCTTCATCCAGCTTTGAACTGCGGTGTCCATTCCCAGAGCAAAGCAGGTGCGACTGAAAGGCTGCTCAGCTGTTTAAATATGTGCTCACCATCTTCCAACCCTTTTCTGACCACAGAAAAGCCATCAGAAGCCCCATTTATCTGTGACTGGCCTGGGGGACAGAGTGACACAGATGCTTTTTGAATAGGATGAAGGGCTGAGCAAGGAGAAAGCATTTTCCAGTCACCTCACCTCTGTCAGTGCCACCTCACTGCCATCCGACCGTGCTATGCCCTTCTGCAAAAGCCCAGCAAGCACCAGGAGCTCAGTTTTCAACAGGGTTGTGCAGTCGGTTCTCTCCTCTTTCCTCTCAACAGCAGAGGCAGCAAGCTAGCAAAGCCCACTACAAAGCTGTTAGGGAAAGGGATCATGATGGCTGAGGCAGCACAAGCTGGACAGCAGAGAAGGGACCGAAGGGCTGTAGGGCTGAGGAATGCTGTGGGACACGATGCTAAGGGGCTGTTGGCTTCTATATATGACATGATCTTTTTGACTTTGCCCTTTGCCCTGAGCCATCCTCTTGGTCTTATATGAAGCTGCCCTCTCTTCTGACACTGCCAGCCCACATTCTGCCTGATGCTGCTTTTAGGTGCCTCTAATCCATACGGCCCAGTAAAGGTCAGCATGGCTCTGCACACCCTGACAGAGGATCAACAAGCCTGGGTATTCAAGAGGCAGACTCATTGCTTGTACCCATCAGAGCTTCCAGACAATCACTGCACACGTGGATGATGCACACAGCTGAGGTTACAGCTCCTGAGATTAGGGTGGGAAGCAGCAAATGGGAAAGTTTAATCTGGGAAAGCTCTGCATGGCTAATAGGACCGAGCATCCTGCCTTCTGCTCCAGGCTGGTTCTTTTAGCTCTTATCTGCTGATGTTCAGGGTGGGTCTGGACAGGTCTGAACCGTCTCATCTGTTAATGGATGCTTGGAAGGAGTTCAGCAGGAGAGTAATTGAGCAAAGTATTAAAAAGTGCATGCACTTATAGTAAGCATCTGTCTGTAAATACAGGCAAACTGGATCAGACCAGAAGATGATCTGGCCCAGTATCCCCTTCTAGCAGTGACTATAAGCAGGTGGAAAACACAAGTATGTGTTCCTTTCTTCCAGTACTCTCCCCACCTACAACCATCTTCAACTCAGACTGAGCCAGGTGTGGCTTCTGAGCATTGACTCATTCACAAGGGGTTTCTTTTCCTTGCATTTATCCTGCAGCCTCCACAGATTGTCAGCACCTGCAATATCCTGCGGCAAGGCATTCCCCAGTGAAGAACCCCCTTTTTCTTTTGTTTTAAACCCATCCTGACAGCTTTGCCTATTTCTTTTCTGGAACAGACAGCAAACAATCAATTCTTGTCCATCCTCTTCAACAACATTTGAATTAATGCCACCTTATTACCTGTTCATTCCATGCAGTATCTAAAGACCTCTTTGTGCAAGGTACTGCATAAAGATAAGCTGTTTTGTTGTGGTGCTCCAGGTGCAAGCAAAGAAGCAGAAGGGCTGGCTGAAACTGTATGATGAAATAGCACAAGCAGAGCACTCTTATGGCCGGCCTCCATCTAAGGTTGCCTTTTTCTTAATCAGGCAGCCTGGCTGGAAAGCACAGTGGTGTTTTCCTGATCCCGAGCCATTTTCCTCGTGCTTCTGCTGAAGGAGAAGCGGGCCCTGAGCAGGATGCAGCAGGCAGCAGGTGGCAGGGGCAGAGCCATCCCCTCTCTGCGTCCCTCCCAAAGCAGGCTCATGGCTGACTCGTACTGCATGCACCGCATCATCGAGGATCCCGAGTGGTGCCTCATCACTGTCCCCCCACTCACAGAGCTCTGCCTGCAGCACATCGTCCAGAATTTCACAAGTAAGCATGGTGGGGAGTGCTGTTTTTTTGGGAAGCGGAGGGGCAGCGAGGCAGGCAGAGGCAGCTGGAAGGCGCAGTGTGGTACCCACCCCTGCCAAAGGAGCAGATGGGGAAAAATATCTCCTCAGGCAGCTAGTTAGACAAACTGCTTAGTTGCTAAGTGTGTACTTGTATGCTACAGGGATGGCTTTCGTCTTCCGGGCTGCTATCCAGGATGTGACTCTACCCTAACCTTGTCCTGTGGCTTCTTTTTCCTGCTGGACTCAGCTTGGCTGCAAGCAGGGCTCTGAAGTCGCTGGTTCCTGGGTCACGCATTACAGCAGCAAACAAGGATGCAGCCCCATCGTGCCAAGTGCTTATAAAGAGATGCAGAAATACTTCCATCTCAGAATACATGTGCTCACAGCTTCAGGCTTCCTCCACAGCCCTTGGTGGGGACGTGACAAGTTCTATCCTCAGGCAGCAAATGTGCTTTTGAAGCAGGTGGGTAGATGAAGCATAGTATAATATAAAAAGCACATCTCATCTGGAACTGCCTGGGAGAGGGAAAAGAAAGGGACAACTCATCACTCAGTAGAGCAGCAACAAGGATCAAAGACAGGACTAACGATGTATCCATGCTGGGACTGTAACTACATACATGCACAAAAAAAGAAAAAATAGAGTAATTTTTTGCCAGCTTAGCTCCCTGCACCATCTGCCAGATACTGAGAGGTGAATTAGCATCAGCAGGGGGCCTAGGCAGAACTGCAGGGCCACCCCTAGTTCCACAGCCCAGACCAACCTCTCTTCCTCTCCGTTCCCTCCAGACAACCCTGTTTTAGATCGTCTTCCACCTGAGGACCAAAGGAAGGTGCTGGCCAGGCTTCCCACAGGCCTTCCACTCACTGTCACTGCCAACCTTATAAGTGATGAGGGCTACTGGAAGAGGTGCTGCACCGACCGCTGGCAAGTGTGTGACGTCTCCAACCACGGAGGCAGCTGGAAGCGGATGTTCTTTGAACGTCACCTGGAAAACATGCTGAAATGCTTTGTCCCCAACACCACAGACCCTGACCAGGTCCTGCAGCTCATCCCGCTCTGCAGAGACTATGTGCAGAAACTGGAGGTTGATCAGTTCCTGCCACCGGTGAAGGAGGATCAAAAGGAAGAGACAGATGACCTTTCTGATTCAGGGAGTGATTTGGGGTTTGGTGAGGTCTGCATTCATCACTATGACCTGGGAGCCCTCGTTCCTGCTCTCCCTCTCCTTGAAGAGCTTAATCTTACTTACGGAGTGAAGGATTGTGGCATGAACTTTGAGTGGAACCTCTTTAAGTTCACCTACCAGGACTGCTGCAACCTGGCTGCTGCCGTGAAGATGTGTCACAACTTGAAGGTAACATATCCCAGAATGAACCTGTCTTCCTCAGCTCAATCTTGAAATTGCCTAGAGGAAGAAACCCAGGGGCAAGTTTTGCTTGCTGTCACACCTTTACCTTTTTAAAGGGAAGCGAATCCTATCTCTGCTGATCCATGGGCTCGAGGGGTTGTGCAAAGGCCATCCCAAAGCACTACTTGTTTTTCTGTCCTTTACCCTCAGATTTTCAAGCTGACACGCAGCAACGTGGATGATGACAAGACCAGGCTGCTGGTCCGCAACTTGCTGGATCACCCCTCCTTGGTGGAGCTGGACTTATCCCACAACCTCATCAGAGACAAGGGGGCACGAGCTGTCAGCAAGCTGATCAACTGCAGCAAGTTAGAAATCCTCCATCTGTGTAACAACCAGATCTGTAATGAGGGTGCCCAGGCTCTGGCCCAAGCGCTGGCAAAGAACTGCACCCTGACCTCCCTGAATCTGCGCCTCAACCACGTGGAGGACGAGGGTGGGGAGGCTGTGGGCTGTGCTCTGCTGACCAACACCACCCTGAAGTCCCTCCACCTGGGAGGCAACAGGCTGGCAGAGCCGACAGCCGTGGTTTTCTCCCAGGTCCTCACTCACAACTCCACCCTGACATGTATCAACTTCTCGTGCAACCCCATCGGGCCGGTAAGAGAAGCACTTTCTCCGGGCAGCTTGGCATCCTGCATGGATGCATGGTTTGATGTCTGAATGTGGTCCTGGGCAAGCTCATGGGGACCCTGCTTAAGCAGAGGGTTGGACCGGGTGACCTCTATAGGTCCCTACCAACCTCATCCATCCTGAGATTCTGTTGCAAAGCAAATGCTGAGCCTGATCTTCCTCCAAGCCATGGGGCGAATGTATCCCTTGCTATCTGCAGTCTTGCTGTGATAACAATCAGCTGGAAGCAGTGAATAGACAACAGTAGACAGGAGGATGGAGGTTTTCCATGGTGACACACATTTGTATCACTCACAACATGTTTTTATGGGGCTCTCAGGCAGGAGCTGGCTTTGGCTTCTGGGCAGAGGGGCTTTCCCCATGAGAAACCAAAATCCAGGCTGTGTGCTTGGGAAAATCACAGTCTGTTTACCCACGTGGGAGTAGATGAAAACGATAGGTGGCAAGAGATGAGCGCCTCATTTGTACCCTCATTTGTACTTTGAATCTGCTGTGCCCTCTGGCACGCAGCAGAGCACAGTTTCACCCTTCCCAGAATCTCTCCTGTCCATTACAGACTCAGAGGACGTTGTTAGAAAACTGACTCTGTTGTTGAGCCCCTTTAATTCACCCCACAGCTCTGGAGCAGTGCAGTAGCTCTGAAGTGTCACATCTGGATGCTTATATGTGGCTCCTGAGCCATACGCTCACATTTTGCAGGCAGAGGAGCTGCTGCAGATCCTACTGTATCCCTAAGAGCTGCAGTGTGCACCATGCCCACAAAGCAGACAATTTCTCTTCTGCTGATGAACTTCAGAAATCTGAAACTGGACAGCTAAATTCAATCATGCCGGTTCTCAAACTTTCTGTGCTGCTTCAATTTTTCTCACTGTCACAATAAAGAGACAGCAAGACCAGCTGTCCCTGCTGGCAGGAATATCGGCATCATTATGTTTGACAAGGGCTTTAAAAGGATTTGATGGCAGAAAACCTTTTGTGAGATCTCATTTTCTTTTGTTCTGGACATGGAAAACTGCTTGAGTGTAACGATACAAAGGGACATGGGATGGAAAGGATTAGAAGGGTTTTTGCTTCGTAAATAATAATCTTTGTGGTTAGCATCTTCCATTTGATGAGCTTTTTCAGAACCCACTTGTGAAGTGTTTTTATCTTTATTTTATATATAGGGAAATGGAAATCTCTGTGAGGAATGCATCAAATTCTGACTTCTGTATTCCTTTAAGAAGAAGCTTCTCTCTTTTCTCACGTTCTGTCCTTTTTAGCAAAAGGTCTAACAGTCAACGTGCTGAGGATAGGACTGCCTGCACAGCAGAGATGGGGTCAGGACATGTGTTGGGCACCTGAAAGAGACGAGCTGTGGGAAACAAAGGTCAGATTGCTGCATACCTGAAGACAATGCTTCAGGCAAGGGAAGGAAATGCAAGGTGTGCTGCCTCCCTACAGCTGTCTACATTGGAACAGTTTGGAGCAGGCTGCCCAGAGAGGTTGTGGGTGCCCCATCCCTGGAGGTACTTAAGGCCAGGTTGGATTGGGCCCTGGGCTGGTGGGTAGCAGCCCTGCCCATGGCAGGGGTTGGAACTGGATAGGCTTCAAGATCTCTTCCAACTCAAGCCATTTTATGATTTTATGAATCTGCATTGCATTGTCTGACCCATGCAGCATTAATTGTGTGAGATGTTCCCCCACAAAAGCCAGCCCTGCCCAGGAAATGGCACCCAAGGGAGATGAGCAATGCATCTAATCCCACTGCTGCTCATCCCTAGCCAGCAGGGTGCTGGAGACTGAGGGGCAGGGCAGCGCAGACTCCTCGCAGGTTATCCTCTGCCCATGCCATTACCCAGCCTGAGCTTGAGGACTCCTGACACGATACCCAGAGGGAGTCATTAGCATGTGTCATATCACTGTGTGCTGCATAAGGCTACACTCCTTCCACGTCCCTCTCTAGCGAGCTGCGTTTCAGGCTTGGGAGAAGCCTTAGGCACTTTTGTCACTGTCTGACGGGCTCTTTCTCACCTGCTGCAGGATGGTGGGAAGCAGCTGCTGGAAGGGCTCAGGTGTAACCAGACCCTGACTGAGTTTGATCTCCGCCTGGCAGAGGTGGGCGAGGATAGCGAGTACCTCATCAGCCAAATGCTGTGGGCCAACAGGGATGCTGCCCGCCTGCAGCCTGTGCTGCAGCAGCCTGCTGAGCCTCTCTGACTGGACAGCTGCAGCAAGCAAGGAACTGAAGGTATTACTGACTGCTCACATCGTGTCTGGGATAACCAACCTACCCCTGCATGCGTGGTAGCAGGAGGCTTCCAGCACCCCTTCCAGCAACACAAGGGCTTGGGTCTCTCCCAGCTCTGAGCGACCCCACACCCACAGACCCACTGCTGACAGCCGCTTCCATGAGTCATCTGAAACTTTTATTACACCGATTTGGTTTACAATCTTTGTACTTTGATATTTCCAACAAAAAAGGCAACATTGTGATATACTGTTTGTACATATATAGAGAGACGGACAGAGCTAGATCATATTGACATAGTTGAAAAGTAAAAACTGTTCCCAGTGCTCACAAAATAATTTGTTCACCATGTACCCGCTTGTGCCTGGCTCTGCCTGACGGACACAGGCCACCCGCTTGATGCCATCCATGGCCATATAGATCAGAAAGGATCGAGTGTGAGGCTGTCCCCGCTGCCAGCAGCCACACAGAAGGGCCCTGCGGGTCATCCCAGAGCCCTTGCAGAGTATTGTAGTGCCTTTCTGAACCGTTCGTGGATGCTTCAGAGGCTACATCTGCAAGAAAATACAGCCAGGGGCAGCTGCTGCCAAACCTTCCCACCCGGGCTCCTCCAACTACTTGTTTTACATCCTCGAAACCGAGGTATTGAATAGATTTATTTGCGTTTACAAAATATTTCCACTGAATGACACACCTGAATGAGATGAGAACTCGTGTTCAGAAACAGCAGAAAAGACGACCCAGGTCAGCTTCAGGCTGAAGGAGCAGCTCTAGCAGTGAGGGTGGGTTGGGGGCTTAATGGGAGTGTCTGGCCCTGGGAAAGCCCACAGGTAGCTCCAGATACAGGACCATGCTGGACAGCCAGTTGTGTGATGAAGGCTGATGCCAGGAGGGCAGGGATGGGATGGCGCACGCACTGGCCAGCACAGCCACTGAGGAGCAAGGGTGGAAAGAAAAGGGCTTGTGAAAAATGCAACACCTGAAAAAACGTTGACTTGCTTTCCAGGATGCTCTCGGCTCCTTTTGCTGCATGCAGCAAGACTGCCAGCACCACCTAACCACCATCCAAGCATGCTCCTGGGCTGTGTGCCTCCTCTGAACTGCTTGGACACGACAAGAGACCAGCAGCCTATTACCACCAGTGTGCGAGGCTTCAAATTATGGATGAATTGGTAACAATTAAAGCCCCTACAGCTGATAGCACCAGCAGTTTCTCTAAGTGTGATGCTGCCATTGCCGGTGGGTCACTCGTCACCTTCAGGCTGGATTACAGGTGCGAGCAGCAGCAACTGCAGGTATGCAGGCCGGGAGCATCCCCCTGCCCGTGGGACATATGTGGGTCTGTGTCAGACTGATGGGGGAATGGGAGGAGGAGGCAGAGCAATGATAGAGGTGCCGGGGGCTGGCTGGCAGTCACGGCAGATGGTGAGCCGTGCTTCGTGCAGGCAGGGCGAGGAGCCGGTGGCGGCTTCCTGAGCCTCTTGGCTTCCGCTCACAGCAATGGAGGTTTGCAAGGTGTCGTACTGCCATATGTTGCCAACAGGATGGCAGGCTGCTTTCAGGCACCAGCTGGGGGTGGAGGAGCAGGAGGATGTGTGGGGATTGGTACTGCACTCAGCATCCCTTTGCTTCAGCAGGGCTGGATTTGTCTGTGTTGAACTCCATCCCCGCCTGCCGCCTACATGCTGGCCATCACAGCCAGCCACGGTGTTGCTGAGTGGTATTCAGGTACAGGGGAGGGAGAAGGGGACTGTGCCTGACCTATGGAATGGTGTAGTAGAGCCAGCTGTGTCTCCTGACAGAGGGGACATAGCCCAATCCCTCCTCTGGTGACAGTGGAGAGGGCTGAGGCCTGAACTGGTGTGTCTGGGCAGATGGAAGCAGCACAGAGCCAGGCTTCACATCAACCTCCCTGGGCAGAGGGGACAGCTGAGATGTGAAGCAATTCCTCCCTGCAAGCTGCGCCCGAAATAGCCAACCCTATTACATCCCTGTCCCTGGCCATGATGGATTAGCCTCTCCCAGGCACAAGGCAATTTATTCATTAGTGACATTTACACCTTGTGGCTGCATTATCCATTGCGGTTTGTGACACGTGCTCCAGCTGTCAGTGCTGGTCCTGGAGGCTGCAGTGTTGCTCTGACGACACAGCGAGGCCCTGCCTGGGCACCTCAGCTGGGAAAAGCCTCCTCCATCCAATGTGTCTTCAGGCAGGAAGGGCTTACCCTGAAAATCCACTTTGCCCCAGGTCTTCTCCATCCTTGACCCAAAACACAGCTGCTGCAGTATAGCAGCCTCCTGCCCTGCCTTGCCTCATGTCTCCCACAGAAATCCCCACATCCGCAAAGCCTCTGACAGCTGCTCTCAGTCAGCCTCCGTGGGCACAGGGCATGTAAGTGGTGCTCAGCAAGCAATGCTCGGGGCAGTGCAGCCAGACTGGCAGGTTGTCCATAGGTTGCCCTATGCTTGAGGTCACTACGAGTCCACCGACATCTCCCAGGAGAGCACTGGAATGGTGTGAGCTCATGGCCCAGAAGGAGCTGATGGAAGAGGGGCGATTTGGGAGCTTGGAGTAATGCTAGTTTTTGCATTGGATTTGAGGAGGGTGAGAAGAGCTGGAGAGCATTGGGCAGGGAGCAGATCCAACAGCTCTCTCCTCTCAGCCAGCCAGCAAGGGATTAGCTTCATCTCAAACACAGCTTGTTCCATGCTTTTATCCCTGCTCTCTGCCAGTCACTGCAGCAAATGTGACACTTTGCACCATCTTCTTGCAAAAACCAGGTCAGGAGTTTCCTCTCACAGATCATTAAGCAATGCCCTGCCATGCTGCAACCCACTCGCTACAGGACTGAAGGGGACATACCAGACCAAAGCCGCCAACACATCCAGACTTACCCTTGGAGGTGCACCCAAATAACAGCCAACCACTTCTCGTGCTGAACCAGAGGGATGTCTGCTTTCAACTGACACCCTCTCTGCATGTGCTCTGGAGATGGGCACAGACTTAGCAGTGGGTCTTCCAAACCTTTTCACCCTGACAGGGTTCGTGGGCTGCCACCCAAAGTCTGAACTCATGGCATGCCGGCTGACAGCACTGCTAATGGATATTTGGATGGTGGGACTGATATAAAATACTAAGTCATCTCAACACATTCTAGCTAGGCTTTTTTCTTTCACTAATGTAAGTAGCTAAGATTGCAGAAGCAGCTTGCACTGATGGAGAGTGAAAGAACCTCGTGTCTGTGTGTGAAGTTACTTTGCTCTATGAAGTCCACTACATTATAACCACAGCAGGCAATGCATCCACTCGCAAAGTTCGAAGGATTGGAGAGGCTTCAGGATGGGCACTGATTTCTCATGAGCTTCATTTCCCTAGAAGTTGGAGGTTTACAAAAAAAACAACCAAACAGAAGGCCCCAACAAAAACAGTCTCCACTGGAAAGAGGAGAGGAATAAAAGCCAGTTAGCTTTCCAGCAGCAGCTGTGCTTATTCTCAGTGCTGGATGAACATGCTGCATACTGTCACGGGCTCCTCAAAACTCAGCAGTACCTGGAAGTGTTGCATAGGTTAATGATGCGTCTGACAGTAGAGCCTGGTTGTGGGCTGCAGGAAGAGGAGCTTGCTGAACGCCACAAGGAAACTGTCCTTCCCCAGGTGAGACAGATGGTGTGAGGAGGGAAGGAAGAAGGGGGGGCCATGAGTCTTGCAGGTTCAGTTCTGTCCTTGGAACTTCGTTTCCCTTTGCATGTAGAAAGGCTGCAGTCCTGTGGGAGAAGTCTCCTCTCCCGTTACAGCATAGGTCACTTTTCTCATTAGCTGGCTTTTGAGGGAGTAAACAAGATCACAACCATGAGTGTAATGTTTCCCTTCATGGAGCAGCTGTGATGGAGGCAGCAAAGCAGAACAATTCAACCCATTGCTTGAAAGACAGTAGAAATTCAACATCCGTTCATGTTGGCCAAGTCCCAGTGTGAGCTCTATGCTTCAAAGCAACACTGCAACAGCACAGTTTGTCTGGATTCAAGGACAGATCACTCTGAAGAGTTGCTAAGCCATGCTCGCTCTGGCATAGCACCACGGGCTTCAAGAAGGTTACACTAGGAATGAATGCAGCCTATGTATGTCTATCTGAAATGTGACTGAACGCCTTTCTCAATTTTCCAGAACACCCATGGAAACAAGAACCCTGAGTGGGCTCATCCCTAAGCCTCTAATGGGCTCCCAGGCCCTACAGCCTTCAGTCCCCAGGTACACCTGGCTCAATGGAAATTATAGGCCCACATGCAAGGCAGGAGGCAGTGTTACCAAACAGAGCTAACACCTAAACCGTAACCCATTTCTGTGACAATACGGATCCAAATCGTTCTCATAGAGACCCATCTTCATATTCACACCGACCTCATTGTAACCACTGAATATACATGAAACATGATTAGAAGCCCATGCCACAAGTTGAGAATTACAGTTCTTTGGTAGCACAACTTCTCAGTGCTATTGCCATGTCTCGGAAATGTACCCTACAGATGCTGCAGCAGAGTAGGAGCACACTGCAGCAATTCTGCCCTGCTGGAAGTAAGGCAGCATCCTGGTGAAGTTAGACAGCAGTACCAAAGCCATAATTGGAAAGGCTGGAAGGAACGCTTAAAAGGTATTCTTCTTTCCACAAGCTAATCAGCAGGCAATGATTTACTGCCATCACATGCTACCTAACTTTCTTAAAATTCCTCTTAATAAGCCTCATCCTGTAGTCTCCTCCACACAGGCATCCACAAACAGCACTGGAGCCTCTCGAGCATGAATGGAGAAAGCCACCAAAGAGGGCAGAGGTGTGCTGAGCACTATCTGAGAAATTTCTAGTGTGTGCTGAAAGAGATAAATGGGTGGTGATGTGCCTTGGAGGTCAGCTAACCCAGAGCTCCTCGCTTGCTCATTCTTTCTTTAGTTCATGAAAGCTGGAGAGCTTCTGGCAGCTACACTGGAAGCAAAAGGAAACGCCAAACAGTGCAAATACATTTTCCAGCCTTGTGACAGGATAGAAGAGCACTCTTCTAGGGACATGTCAGCGATGTGAAGTGCCAGGACAAGGAGCTGGCAGCGCTCCCACCTCCCCCATCCCAGTGTAAGAGGAAAACTGCGGGCAAGTGCAACCTGAGTCTGATTCC